CCCACGTGCAGTGGCGGACAACAAGTGGCGAGAGGCGGAATGGGACCCATACGAGAACGCGGTCACGGACGACACGGTGAAGGTCATGCACAACCGATTGCGCAACCAACTGCACTGGTGGATCTCGTGGTGCGACAGCAGTTTTATTATCTCAATTATTGCAAGAGGATATTGGCTGCCTTGGAAAACTACAGAACCGCCACCCTTCGAAACCACAAACCACGCGGGGGTTCACGCACACACCGCGTTCACTCGTGAGGCCATCCGCGACCTAATTACATCGGGTGCGGCAACAAAGGTCTCCTCGCGGAATGCGCTCTCGTGTGTAAGCCCACTCAACGTGGTGGAACAACGCGACAAATGTCGCCTCATCCTCGACCTACGCAAGGTCAATCAACACCTCCAAGTCCCCAAATTCAAATACGAGGGTCTGAATCGGGTCTCGGAGATCATTCGACGCAACGACTGGCTGTTCACCATTGACCTAAAATCGGGCTACCACCACGTTGAGATGCACCCATCGTGCTGGAAGTTCCTAGGCTTCCAATTCGAAGGCGAGTTCTACTGCTTCCGAGCTTTGTCGTTTGGACTGGCAACAGCACCTTTCGTCTTCACCCAGTTGATCAAGCAATTGGCCAAGCGGTGGCGTGCGTGTGGCGTGCGCGTAGTCCCATACGTCGACGACTTGCTATTCCTCTGTGACTCCGCGGAGCAAGCACGCAAGACATGCACAGAGGTCTTACGCGACCTGGGGGCCGCAGGTTTTGTGATCAACGAGAAGAAATCGCACCTCCAGCCGGCCCAGCAAACACGGTTTTTGGGGATAGTGCTTGACACGACTCGCGGCATCGGATCCGATCGGAGGGCGCAGTTCCTAGACACGCTCAACACACTCATCTCTAAAGGACAACGTGGCCAACAAGTCCCAATTCGGCAAGTCGCTCGTATCACCGGAATGTTGAGCTCCATGTCCCTCGCATTGGGCACGACGGCACGCGCCTTCAGTCACGAGCTGCTACAATTGATTGATGCTGCGGCATCTTGGCACTCAAGGATCTGGCTGCCACGGGCCGCCATTGAGGAGCTAATCTTCTGGCGGCTGCACTTCGACCAATTTAACGGTGCCCCATTTCACCTAAGCCATCAATTCGATGCTGTGATCCACGTCGACGCGAGCGCGCACAGCTGGGGCGCCACCCTTACAAAGTTTACCGACACGTCGTATGAAGCAAGCGCCAGCATGCCGAGCGAGCTTCTCCCAACCTCAAGTACTCAACGGGAGCTTGAGGGAGTCCTATGGGCGCTACGGACATTTGCGCCCCACATCACCAGCGGCCACGTTTTGGTTCGCGTGGACAACCAAGGCGTCGTTTTTATCTTGCGAAAAGGGGGGTCCAGCCAACCTCGGCTGACACTGACATGTCAAGCAGTCATACAGTTCTGCCTCAAGAACCATACACGCCTGGCGATCGAATGGATCCCAAGGGAGTTAAATGCCCACGCGGACGAATTGTCTAAAATCCAAGACCATGACGACTACTCGCTGTACATGCCATGGTTTCTTTTGCTGGAACGTCGATGGGGTCCCCACACGATCGACCTTTTCGCAAACATCAACAACAAGAAGCTGCAACGATTTTGCTCCAAGATACCACACCCAAGTGCCACAGCAATTGATGCTTTCTCGATCTCGTGGAAAGGCGAGCGCTGCTTCAGCTTTCCGCCCCTCGGCTTGATCCCGGCCACACTCGCTCACGCCAGGCGCACACAAGCCGAGTTGACACTCGTCGTCCCCAAGTGGCCGGGAGCAGCATGGTGGCCGTTGCTACAACCCTCCCTAAACACATGGGCCCCAGAGGTGGCCGCATGCTTGCCCCTCGCTCAAGGAAGCCAGTGCCTTCGACCCGGCTCGCACGCAACAGCATTTTCCGGACTCGGCCTACCACATAGCCCAATCATTGCCCTGCATGTAAAATATAATACGTAACTAATATTCGAATGTTACATCTTTCAGGATTGTTGACCAAGCTTCAAAACCAGCTGTTGCAAGTTATAAATGATGTTCGCGCACCATCCACGATCGAGACATACCAGCCCTACTGGCTCAAATTTCGCAACTTCTGCACTCGAGTCAAGTTAGCATTCCTGCCAGCGACGGACCTCACGCTGGCACTCTATCTAGTCCACGCGCTGAACAACAAGGCAACGATATCAGCGGTCAACCTCACATGCTCCGCCGTGGCCTTCGCCCATCGGATGACCGGCGAGGCATCCCCAACAAACGGCCCGTTCACGCTGCAAGTACGAGAGTTTGCTAAGCGGCATGGCCTCCGCCCGACAAGAACCAAGGAACCTGTGTCACTCCATCAAGTGCAGAACATGGCACGACCCTACTTGGAATCAACAGTGCCGGCAGAATATCAGAAAGGCTTGATACCTCTCTTGATGTTCGCAGCATTCCTGCGCTACTTCGACCTGATCTCCCTCCAATGGAACGACATTCAGTTCGAAGAGGCGGCCATGTGGCTACTGATCCCATACTCCAAGACGGACCAAGAAGGCAAGGGCACGTGGATCCCAGTCGCAGCGTCGGCAGGGCCCTACTGCGCAGTGAGATGCACTCGGGAGTTCATTCGCATCGCAGGCCTTGCAGACATGCCACACGGGCCACTGATCCGGGTTTTCAACAAAAGGGCACAAGCCTCGCCGCACGACAAATCGCCTTCATATCCAACCATCCGAAGCTGGTGCCTCGAGGCTTGCAAGAAGGCAGGGCTCGACGCCACGCACATCGGAACCCACTCATTCCGCAAGGGCGCGGCAACAGCAGCCGCAGCTTTAGGAATCCCCGACCGGCTCTTCAAACGGATGGGGCGATGGCGAAGCGACGGCGCGAAGGACCTATACGTCACCCTCGCCCAAGACCAACCCATCGACCTCTCCACCCAGCTGCAGGACTCCTCAGCAGCCCCATCGCCCATCAGGCACCAGCGATCGTTGGAGAGGCACCGCCGACCCAACATGCACCTGCCTCAGAAGACCCACTTGGAATGAAGCACGCTGCCTTTGCAAGATGGACTAAGCAAGCTTTCACAATATTATAATTTTTAAAAGTGTAACACTTTTTAAAATTTCGTATTGTGAAAGCGAGGACGTGGCCAGCAACGCAAAGGTAGCGGTGCGACGCTACTCACCCCTCTTTTCCCTACAAAAGAGGAACGTGAGTTCAGTAGCTCCACCCACGTTCTTCATTTCCAATTTTCTAGTTTTAATTTCCCACCACCCACCCCATTGTGTATCATGGATGTACGAGAACGTTGTAAACCCACTTGGAATGAAGCACGCACTTGGAATGAAGCACGCTGCCTTTGCAAGATGGACTAAGCAAGCTTTCACAATCAAACTATCATTTCTGAGAAGGTTCTTTGCCCACTCGGTGAGTGTGTTCACTTGAACGGGATTTGATAGATTTTGATCATTTTTTTAGTTTACACAGATTGTGTTGTTTCATGTAACAGTTGAATGATTCAGAAACTATGCTATTGACCTCCCCCCCATGCTGGGCAGGGGATGTGGTAGGATAGGGTTTGGGTCAATTAACAGTTACGCATTTCCATCATGCTATGCATCTATTTCACTACAGTAGATTTACACCGACATATTGTATATAATATTTCACCATAGTAGCATATGCATTATATTTATGCATTGGTTCACTATATCCATCCATATACTTCATCTATGCATAATACAATCCGGCATATGCATTACGAAATAGATAATCACTCGTTCACGGTAACATCATTTTGACAATATGGATTCAGTCAAGGCAAACTAGAAGGAACGCAGTACGTGACGTGCTAAATTACCGTGGCAAATACATAGCACTCAGTCACTTAGCTGTCGTTCACTAGATTTTCTTCAGTTTTTTTTTAGAGGATTGAAAAAAAAATTGAACATAACGATTGTAATAGGTTGCTCCGCAACCCAAAAAAAGAAACTCTATGTCAATTGCCTGCAAGAGAGTAAGGTGATGGCACCGTACCGTCGGTACAGCTGACTCTCATGGTATGACTGATTGTTGATTCTTGACCACAACTGACTCGACGTTAACAGCAACATTCTCACCACCAACTCGTTTATCAACACTAACTTAATATGCCCAGCAACTCTTTCTTGCCACATGGGCTCACCATGAAGTGCCGCAGCATTGGCGCAAATGGCTGCAGGGAGGAGCCTGGCAACTGGCTGCAGGGAGGAGCCTGGCAACTGGCAGCAGACGGGCTCGCTGCAGGTGGGGGGAGAGAGGGGGAAAGGGAAGAAAAGCACGGGAAATTTTGTAGCCGACATAAGAACGGGCGCCAGTGGATGCAGAGAGGAGCCTGGCTGGCAGCTGGCTGCAGATAGACTGGCAGATTGGCTCGCTGAGGGGAGGAGGGGGGAACGGGTAAGGCAAGCGGAGGACGCATCCAGTTTTGAGGTTCGAAACGTCTCAAACGCGATGGATGGAGTGAGAGATGGACTCGCTGCAAAGGGACAGACATGAAACGAGTCCACCTTCGAGGCGTGGACACATAGGGTATGATTCCAAGGAAGGGGTGCATTGAAACACAACACAAGGAAAGATTGGCGTGTGCAGGGGTATCGGAAATGACCACTGAGGAAGGTGAGTATGAGGAAGGTGGCTGGCGTTGGATGCCAGCTCATCAAGACCGCTTGGCAGCCTGGCTGAGAAACTGCCAGCTCAGCACCACCTGGCGCGTTGCCAGCAGGGCCGGTAGAGTTGGCTGCTGACATGTCATTGTGGGAGAGGGCAAACTTGAAGACACCTAGGAGGAGGAAATTGGGGGGAGGGAGAGTGGTGGAGAGACTTAAGCAGGCTTCAGCGGTGCAAGCAAACTTAGCAAGATCAGAAAACAGAAACAGAACCCTACCACCAACATGAGTTCCGGCAACAAAGTACCAACATGAAACACTGAGGTTGACATGACACGCTTTTTATGCAGCTCAACTGGCGTTCAGCCAACAAAGGTACGAGTACAGCTTGGGTTGGCAACATGGAACACTGTGACACCAAGGAGTGCATATAATTATATGGCTCTGTCTCGGATGAACCCCCCCTCCACCCTCCCTCATGACATCACCTAAATCCTCTAAATCTTCCTCTTCCATCAACTTGCCATTCCCCTCTCACCTCTCCATCCGTGCATTGCTCGTCCTCATCTTCAGCTCACACCACTACCTCCTCCGTTCCAAACTCTCCTCTCCTTCACTCCCCTTTACTTTGTTCTCTTCCCCTTCGCTCCCCTTTGTTCCCCTCACCTTCTCTCCCCTCCCCTTCATTCCCCTTCTCTTCGCTCCCCTCCCCTTCATTCCCCTTCCCTTCGCTCCCCTCCCCTTCGTTCCCCACCCCTTCGTTTCCCTCCCCTTCGTTCCCCTCCCCTTCGCTCCCCACCCCTTCGCTTCGCTCCCTTTCGTTCCCCTCCCCTTGTAAATCAAGCACGGCGACGTAAATCAAGCACGGAGAAGTAAATCAAGCACGGAGAAGTAAATCAAGCACGGAGAAGTAAATCAAGCACGGAGAAGTAAATCAAGCATGGAGAAGTAAATCAAGCACGGAGAAGTAAATCAAGCACGGAGAAGTAAATCAAGCACGGAGAAGTAAATCAAGCACGGAGAAGTAAATCAAGCACGGAGAAGTAAATCAAGCACGGAGAAGTAAATCAAGCACGGCGAAGTAAACCAAGCACGGCGAAGTAAACCAAGCACGGCGAAGTAAACCAAGCACGGCGAAGTAAACCAAGCACGGAGAAGTAAACCAAGCACGGAGAAGTAAATCAAGCACGGCGAAGTAAATCAAGCACGGCGAAGTAAATCAAGCACGGCGAAGTAAATCAAGCACGGAGAAGTAAATCAAGCACGGAGAAGTAAATCAAGCACGGAGAAGTAAATCAAGCACGGAGAAGTAAATCAAGCACGGAGAAGTAAATCAAGCACGGAGAAGTAAATCAAGCACGGAGAAGTAAATCAAGCACGGAGAAGTAAATCAAGCACGGAGAAGTAAATCAAGCACGGAGAAGTAAATCAAGCACGGAGAAGTGAATCAAGCACGGAGAAGTGAATCAAGCACGGAGAAGTGAATCAAGCACGGAGAAGTAAACCAAGCACGGCGAAGTGAATCAAGCACGGCGAAGTGAATCAAGCACGGAGAAGTAAACCAAGCACGGCGAAGTAAATGAAGCACGGCGAAGTGAATCAAGCACTGAGAAGTGAATCAAGCACGGAGAAGTAAATCAAGCACGGAGAAGTAAATCAAGCACGGAGAAGTAAATCAAGCACGGAGAAGTAAATCAAGCACGGAGAAGTAAACCAAGCACGGAGAAGTAAATCAAGCACGGAGAAGTAAACCAAGCACGGAGAAGTAAATCAAGCACGGAGAGTAAATCAAGCACGGAGAAGTAAATCAAGCACGGAGAAGTAAATCAAGCACGGAGAAGTAAATCAAGCACGGAGAAATAAATCAAGCACGGAGAAGTTAACCAAGCACGGAGAAGTAAATCAAGCACGGAGAAGTAAACCAAGCACGGAGAAGTAAATCAAGCACGGAGAAGTAAATCAAGCACGGAGAAGTGAATCAAGCACGGAGAAGTAAATCAAGCACGGAGAAGTGAATCAAGCACGGAGAAGTAAATCAAGCACGGAGAAGTGAATCAAGCACGGAGAAGTAAATCAAGCACGGCGAAGTAAATCAAGCACGGAGAAGTAAATCAAGCACGGCGAAGTAAATCAAGCATGGAGAAGTAAATCAAGCACGGAGAAGTAAATCAAGCACGGAGAAGTAAATCAAGCACGGAGAAGTAAATCAAGCACGGAGAAGTAAATCAAGCACGGAGAAGTAAATCAAGCACGGAGAAGTAAATCAAGCACGGCGACGTAAATCAAGCACGGAGAAGTAAATCAAGCACGGAGAAGTAAATCAAGCACGGAGAAGTAAATCAAGCACGGAGAAGTAAATCAAGCACGGAGAAGTAAATCAAGCATGGAGAAGTAAATCAAGCACGGAGAAGTAAATCAAGCACGGAGAAGTAAATCAAGCACGGAGAAGTAAATCAAGCACGGAGAAGTAAATCAAGCACGGAGAAGTAAATCAAGCACGGAGAAGTAAATCAAGCACGGAGAAGTAAATCAAGCACGGAGAAGTAAATCAAGCACGGAGAAGTAAATCAAGCACGGCGAAGTAAACCAAGCACGGCGAAGTAAACCAAGCACGGCGAAGTAAACCAAGCACGGCGAAGTAAACCAAGCACGGAGAAGTAAACCAAGCACGGAGAAGTAAATCAAGCACGGCGAAGTAAATCAAGCACGGCGAAGTAAATCAAGCACGGCGAAGTAAATCAAGCACGGAGAAGTAAATCAAGCACGGAGAAGTAAATCAAGCACGGAGAAGTAAATCAAGCACGGAGAAGTAAATCAAGCACGGAGAAGTAAATCAAGCACGGAGAAGTAAATCAAGCACGGAGAAGTAAATCAAGCACGGAGAAGTAAATCAAGCACGGAGAAGTAAATCAAGCACGGAGAAGTAAATGAAGCACGGAGAAGTAAATCAAGCACGGAGAAGTGAATCAAGCACGGAGAAGTGAATCAAGCACGGAGAAGTGAATCAAGCACGGAGAAGTAAACCAAGCACGGCGAAGTGAATCAAGCACGGCGAAGTGAATCAAGCACGGAGAAGTAAACCAAGCACGGCGAAGTAAATGAAGCACGGCGAAGTGAATCAAGCACTGAGAAGTGAATCAAGCACGGAGAAGTAAATCAAGCACGGAGAAGTAAATCAAGCACGGAGAAGTAAATCAAGCACGGAGAAGTAAATCAAGCACGGAGAAGTAAACCAAGCACGGAGAAGTAAATCAAGCACGGAGAAGTAAACCAAGCACGGAGAAGTAAATCAAGCACGGAGAGTAAATCAAGCACGGAGAAGTAAATCAAGCACGGAGAAGTAAATCAAGCACGGAGAAGTAAATCAAGCACGGAGAAATAAATCAAGCACGGAGAAGTTAACCAAGCACGGAGAAGTAAATCAAGCACGGAGAAGTAAACCAAGCACGGAGAAGTAAATCAAGCACGGAGAAGTAAATCAAGCACGGAGAAGTGAATCAAGCACGGAGAAGTAAATCAAGCACGGAGAAGTGAATCAAGCACGGAGAAGTAAATCAAGCACGGAGAAGTGAATCAAGCACGGAGAAGTAAATCAAGCACGGCGAAGTAAATCAAGCACGGAGAAGTAAATCAAGCACGGCGAAGTAAATCAAGCATGGAGAAGTAAATCAAGCACGGAGAAGTAAATCAAGCACGGAGAAGTAAATCAAGCACGGAGAAGTAAATCAAGCACGGAGAAGTAAATCAAGCACGGAGAAGTAAATCAAGCACGGAGAAGTAAATCAAGCACGGCGACGTAAATCAAGCACGGAGAAGTAAATCAAGCACGGAGAAGTAAATCAAGCACGGAGAAGTAAATCAAGCACGGAGAAGTAAATCAAGCACGGAGAAGTAAATCAAGCACGGAGAAGTAAATCAAGCACGGAGAAGTAAATCAAGCACGGAGAAGTAAATCAAGCACGGAGAAGTAAATCAAGCACGGAGAAGTAAATCAAGCACGGAGAAGTAAATCAAGCACGGAGAAGTAAATCAAGCACGGAGAAGTAAATCAAGCACGGAGAAGTAAATCAAGCACGGCGAAGTAAACCAAGCACGGCGAAGTAAACCAAGCACGGCGAAGTAAACCAAGCACGGCGAAGTAAACCAAGCACGGAGAAGTAAACCAAGCACGGAGAAGTAAATCAAGCACGGCGAAGTAAATCAAGCACGGCGAAGTAAATCAAGCACGGAGAAGTAAATCAAGCACGGAGAAGTAAATCAAGCACGGAGAAGTAAATCAAGCACGGAGAAGTAAATCAAGCACGGAGAAGTAAATCAAGCACGGCGACGTAAATCAAGCACGGAGAAGTAAATCAAGCACGGAGAAGTAAATCAAGCACGGAGAAGTAAATCAAGCACGGAGAAGTAAATCAAGCACGGAGAAGTAAATCAAGCACGGAGAAGTAAATCAAGCACGGAGAAGTAAATCAAGCACGTGAAGTAAATCAAGCACGGAGAAGTAAATCAAGCACGGAGAAGTAAATCAAGCACGGCGACGTAAATCAAGCACGGAGAAGTAAATCAAGCACGGAGAAGTAAATCAAGCACGGAGAAGTAAATCAAGCACGGAGAAGTAAATCAAGCACGGAGAAGTAAATCAAGCACGGCGAAGTAAACCAAGCACGGCGAAGTAAACCAAGCACGGCGAAGTAAACCAAGCACGGCGAAGTAAACCAAGCACGGAGAAGTAAATCAAGGACGGCGAAGTAAATCAAGCACGGCGAAGTAAATCAAGCACGGAGAAGTAAATCAAGCACGGAGAAGTAAATCAAGCACGGAGAAGTAAATCAAGCACGGAGAAGTAAATCAAGCACGGAGAAGTAAATCAAGCACGGCGACGTAAATCAAGCACGGAGAAGTAAATCAAGCACGGAGAAGTAAATCAAGCACGGAGAAGTAAATCAAGCACGGAGAAGTAAATCAAGCACGGAGAAGTAAATCAAGCACGGAGAAGTAAATCAAGCACGGAGAAGTAAATCAAGCACGGAGAAGTAAATCAAGCACGGAGAAGTAAATCAAGCACGGAGAAGTAAATCAAGCACGGAGAAGTAAATCAAGCACGGAGAAGTAAATCAAGCACGGCGAAGTAAATCAAGCACGGAGAAGTAAATCAAGCACGGAGAAGTAAATCAAGCACGGAGAAGTAAATCAAGCACGGAGAAGTAAATCAAGCACGGAGAAGTAAATCAAGCACGGCGAAGTAAACCAAGCACGGCGAAGTAAACCAAGCACGGCGAAGTAAACCAAGCACGGCGAAGTAAACCAAGCACGGAGAAGTAAACCAAGCACGGAGAAGTAAATCAAGCACGGCGAAGTAAATCAAGCACGGCGAAGTAAATCAAGCACGGAGAAGTAAATCAAGCACGGAGAAGTAAATCAAGCACGGAGAAGTAAATCAAGCACGGAGAAGTGAATCAAGCACGGAGAAGTGAATCAAGCACGGAGAAGTAAACCAAGCACGGCGAAGTGAATCAAGCACGGCGAAGTGAATCAGGCACGGAGAAGTAAACCAAGCACGGCGAAGTAAATGAAGCACGGCGAAGTGAATCAAGCACTGAGAAGTGAATCAAGCACGGAGAAGTAAATCAAGCACGGAGAAGTAAATCAAGCACGGAGAAGTAAATCAAGCACGGAGAAGTAAATCAAGCACGGAGAAGTAAACCAAGCACGGAGAAGTAAATCAAGCACGGAGAAGTAAACCAAGCACGGAGAAGTAAATCAAGCACGGAGAGTAAATCAAGCACGGAGAAGTAAATCAAGCACGGAGAAGTAAATCAAGCACGGAGAAGTAAATCAAGCACGGAGAAATAAATCAAGC